GATATATATCTGACATTTTAAGCCAAATTCAAGGGCAGTTATAGTCTTGATGATGGCTCCTGAAGTAACTAACAATTGAAAACATTTTCTAATTGCAGTTGATAGTGCCATCTAGTTCTGTTTTTGCCAGCAGTCAAAATCTCATGTTATTATTTGAGATTAGAAGCTTTGACAACCAACTGACATTTATCCAGCAAGTTGGACTGGCAGTGTCTTGAGAAGTTACACTCAGTGTTAATATTTATGTAGTTTCTTAAAAAAAAATCTAAATATAAAAAATCAATATTTAGGCTACCCACCTGTTTGTTATGTTGTCGTTGTTATTGTTCAGTTGCCCAGTCCTGTCGGACCCTTGCAACCCCGTGGACTGCAGCATGCCAGACTCCCCTGTCCTGTACTCTTTATCATGTTACCTCTCTTCACATCTCTTCTGTATTAGTTATTGGATGGTTCTCCTGCTCTTTGCACATAAGAAACGGGGAAAGGCCATACACCCCTCTGTGATGGCCCACACTCTGTGGAGTGTGTTTCTCTCTGAATCTGAATAAATCCACATGTTACCTATAAAAAAAAAGGAGGGGCAGGGGAAGGATAGTCTAATTATTTGCTGAACCAGTAATAAAATGAAGGTAAAATTATTAATGTTAATAGCTCTTTTCAAATTTATTCACATCCTGAAGTTTTTCCAAGTGATGTACACTGTCAGTTTTCAAACTGCATTCCAAGTCTTTGACTTTGCCTTAGCAATAATGATCAGAACCAATATATCTCATCAGAAAGAAAACATTTGCAGAAGGCACCATTGATGTTGAGGTCAGATCATCAGAACTGTGTTGTAATCTTTGACTCCCCATCTGCTTTTACTCATTAATGCTACATGTAGCTCTTCCTACTTTTCTGAGAAATTGTATTTGAACATCAGCTCTAATAGCATCATCTGTATTTTCCTACATATTGACATCTCTATCTTTATGCTTTAAAGCATTATAAATAAATGTAAGAAACTATCAATTGATGAATTAAATTAATTTTATGTAGTGTAGTTCTAATACAGAAATTCACATATATTTTTTTTAAACTCCCACTAGCATTTACTCACTACGAATTAATTTTCTGATCATGCAGTATTTCTTGCATATTAAGTATGCTGAATTGCATGCACCCACTGTGAAAATATTACCATTTTAAATTTGTCACCTCATTTAAGGGAAACAATTTTAAATAAGATCAGTGTGATTGTGTGAAGAACAGGCTCAGTAATTTGAACCCTCTTTCAGGAGACCTAAACGTCAACATTCTCTCCCTGAGAATCTAGATGCCATTAATTCCTTCTTGAAGGCAATTAAGCCAAATGTGTCAGAAGTATTGAAGAGGAAAGGAACATAATCTTATCCTTGTAATGTAATAGTAGTCAGAATCATGATGGTACTTAATTAAAATATGACATAATTTAACCTATTAAATTAGAGAGCATTTCTTCTCTGAGTGAATATAATTCAGACTTTTTTCATTGCATACAGATCATATCTTCCAAGTTGAGATACATCATATTATAATGGACTTTTATAGTTTCTCATCTTTGTGTTTGAGGAAAAAAGATGTTTGTCACCAAGGATTTATTTTTAAAAGCACTTGAAAGTTTGGCCAAGGTACATTATTTAAATCTAATACATATACATTTTATCTCTGTTACCTATCTCATAGTCAAAAACAATATAAAGGAGAAAGTATCCCTCTAGGTCTTCGTCTCAAAGCCATTTATAAGTCTATTAGAATCTATGTGTCATAATAATTCAGATAGCATTGTAGTTGGTGTTCAGAGCATAAAGAGAATAATGTAATAAATATTTCTTTGTGAGAGTCCAGTGAGTTAAAAGACAATCTATATCTTCCTAATAACAAAGCTGCTATGAAAATTAAAGGAAACAAATGAATACACTGCACGGTATATTTTTCTTTCTTCTTGTCCAAACAGGACCATCAGGAAGGTTACAGTGTTTCTCTAGCCTGTTGGATTGGATCTCCCTATCATCACAAGATTTCAAATAAATATTAAAAGTACCAGTGATAACTGTACCAAGAGTTTGATCATCAAAAGTTACTTTTATCATCCTAGTAATAACTGCTACTAATTCTCTGATTTTTTTTCCACACAATAACTAAAATGCTGCTACACTTATATGAAAAGTAATCAACTTTATTCGGAGACAAACTGTATCATCTATAGTTGTACAGATAAATGTAAGCAATAAGTTTACAAATCAGTTTTTACTACTTCATTTAGGATCACCATGAAGTATTCCTATAAAAGAATGTTCTAGATAGAGGTAGTCCTCTGGGCATATGACAATTCAACTTTTGCTGATTTGTATTTCTGCTGTTCATCCAACTGCACACTTGTGTTCAACATTTCCAGTAGGCAAGCAGCACACATATTAAAATACATCAGTCAATCTACTCCCTGACATTTACCATAAAAGGCTCCCCATGACCCCCTCTCAATCTGACCAGACAAGAAGGGGGGGCAGCGTCCTTCACAGCCTTGCTGCTTGAAGCTTTGTTTTTAGCACAAGCCTAGGTTCAATCTTGTGTTTTTGATCAAGATGCACAGGGAGGCAGAAAGAGGGGAAGAAAAAGAAAATTAATAGGAAAAATAGAAGGGTTTCATATTTAAACTCAGTAACAGAAGTTATGAAATGCTTTGAGCAATGGCAAGATCATTCTTTTACTGAAAGGTAGAGGCCGGCTGCTCACTGCTTAAAAGTCAGTATAAGGCCAGGTTGATAGAAAGGAAAGTTTGCAAATACATCCTTGTTCATGCTTCCTTCCAGGATTAAAATTTGACTGGGAGGCAGAAATCTTCACTTTCTTCCATTCAATCTTTAAAATACATGCATAAAAGAAAAAATTGTGATGACAACATCCTACTTCTATTTAGTATAGTATTTGTCTTGGGGGCAAAGTGGAAAATATTTGATTTTGTGGAATCAGACTCATAATAGCTTGAATTTTGAGTTCTGACTTTCTCCAAGATAACATTCCATTCATGTTGTTATCTTCAGGAGAGAAGACTCAGCATCACATGACTGAAACTAAGAAGGGGGTGGGAATAACCATTGATTTACTCTTAACATTGATTCTTTACCAGGTAAGCAGCACGTATTAAAAAAAAAAAAAAAAAGGAAAAAAGCCCCATTACTTAAAAACCCATGGTTAGGAAAAAGGCAGTACTTTTTCACAGATAGATAGACTGCTGACAGGGGCAATTTAAAATGATCCTGAAGAACCATGTGTTCCAAACAATTGTGTATAATAATTATGTGAAATATATTCATTTCAGCCCTGTTCAGAATAACTGAAAATAATTTTATTGTCTAACAATAACAATACATATTGATTAAATAAATTTTGTTCTATCAATAATATGGACTATTCTGCCGCCATTAAAATGACTTCTCCTTTTCCATATTCAGTGCTTTTGAATTTTTATACCATTGATTTTTTATTTAAATCTTGTCTCTTGTAGTTTAAATAGTCCTCGGAGGGTTTTTTAGCCACTACCCAGATATCTTCCAAAACCCCACCCTAAGTCAAATGCAAATTATCATTCCCAGGCAGCCAAACTAAGGCTTCCGTCCTGATTCTGTCTGAGGATGGAGCATTTATACACTGCCAATTCAGTTCTAAATGTTTTAACTCTGGTCTGCCATTTTATTTTGGCCTCAGTGATATAAGGCAAATTGGATGCTTTTCAAAGAAATGGCTTTGAACACTATTAATGTATAATACTTGTCTCAAAATAGGTAAGCAAGAAATCCTCTCCATATCTAATTTAATTCTAAATTAAATGTAATAATAATATAATAAAAAATTTCTCAAATCTTTTTATCATATAAAATCATGAAACTTATCCTCATTCTTATGCACCATATAGGGAAAGGAAAGTCCTCAGAAAAATCACCACAAATTTACCTTTAAGGAGTCATATTAAACACTCTAAGATAAGACAGAAACAAAAATTTTTATATTCATAAAAATAGACTTTTGCTGTAATTTGTTGCGATGAAATAAGATTAGAGATCGTATTAAATTACACACATTAGTTTGATGTTGAACATAGCTCTTTATTAAGCTAATTTTTCTTCAGAAAGAACAAACTAGGTATTTCATTTTGGTACATAGAAATTTTTCTGGGAATATAGTCACTAAGTGCATAAGTTACTTTTTCTACCAAAAGGATACTGGAAGCAAGGAGAATTTGTGAGACAAGACAGAAAGTTTACGAAGAGTCTCATGTCTACAAAAATGAAATAAAAAATTGTTAATTGTCCTTATATTGACTTTGTATCCAGAATTTAGCAATAAATGTAGATTGATTTCATTCATCTATTCTTTCAACACTAATGTTGTAAGACTTGGTGCCATCCACTGTTCTAGATACTGGAAGTTTGAAGATTTGCTACTAAACCCATAAATATCTTCAAAAACAATAAATATCTTTAAAAACAAAGCATATGGGGACTATGATTAACTTATTCACTGTGTACACACTTGTTCTGGGCTTCAGTAAACATAGTACTGTCACAATGAACCTGGAACTGATTCATCCATAAAATGTACCTTTAACAGAAAGCCAGTGTTATGAGATATGTTTAGAGAACATTGGAGGGAATCTATTTCAGAGAAAAAAAATTTCCTTACCCTTGAAAACAAAAAGTGATATGACTTATTTTTTGTAGCTGTTTTTATTCTATTATTCAGTTAGGTTTAGTTTTGTTTTAAAATTGACAAGGAGCTTATAAAATGGAAAACTACTGTACAAGGAAGATCTTACTATTGGTTTTGTTGAGAAAGCTTTTTTGCAAGCAAGAATTCTGAAGACCACCAATAATAAATGATACCAGGATTGTCAGTTTTAGGTTTGGCTCCTCTATTTCTCAATAAAAATTCATCTGCAAATCAAAGTTCTACATTTAGGTTTGTTTCATTCATATTTGTAGCTCATTTTTGAAGGTATTCGAGGTCCTGGCATAGAAGGTGACATTGCCATTGATGATGTATCAATTGCAGAAGGAGAATGTGCAAAACAAGACCTAACGACTAAGAGTAAGTGTCTTCTTGGATCTGTTGGTGTGATGTTAGAGTAAAGTAATGACTATTAGTCTAGTATGGTCTAATTGTTAAAATGAATTTATTTTTAGTTTTTTTACTCAAGAATTTCCTATGCCTGAAACTCTAAAATTTCAAACATATTTTAAAATCAAATTATTAAATCCAGTGGTAGACACTAGACCTTAATTATTTGACCTAAAATAAAAGTAATTTTGATTTTGGTTCATATAAGGCAAGCACAGTTTGATTTTTAATTAAGGTTTTTAAATATTTTTTGTTTATATTATTAATTTCAGTGGATTTTTTAACTATTATTAAAATATATGGCTAACTCAAATAATCAACTTACATTTGTATAGCCATGGCTATTTTTATTCCTCCAAGTTTATGAATGTATTTTCTAGGTCTAACTTTTGCCAAACATTTTAACAGATTCAATCTTATGATGAGTCTTAGTATATATGTATTAAGTAATGTAGTAGCCTGATTTTTTTCCTGGTATGATTAATCTCCTACGTGCATCACAATCTTGTTTAGTAATTTGGTTTCACTATTTATTCTGGTTTGAGTATTATGATATAATGATACCTTCAAATTGTATTTTTTCACCAAAAATTCATTTTTAGTAAAAGAGGTTTATATAGAAACTTATAAATAATGCAAACAGTATCAGAGTTATGTGTTGGGCTGTTGCTTTAAAATCCTCATTATATTATTCATGTGAAGGTGAGAAATTTAAAATTATTCTTATGAAAATTCCTCCAATTGAAGGATTTTCATAGAGCCATCTGGAATCTTTAATTTTGTGGTTATTTAAAGAGGTATCAAACTAAATGTATATAAATAAATCATCAATGATTTAACACTTACAAAAAGAGCATGAAAATCCACTTTGTATAAGTCTAGAGCAAATCAGAGTCTTTGTTAATTGAGTATATTTGGTGAGAAATTATATCGGTCTGGATGCTGAGAGTCAAATTTATACAACTGTCCACTGATTGCTCATAAAAACTAAATTGATTCCATTTTTGAACATTGTTAAGAGACAAAAATTAAGATTGTCTACAACAATGAGCCATTTTGCTCATTTTTTTCACCTTCTTGTCATTACACTTAACATTTCAAGTAACAATTTTAGTGAAAATTTCTCCTGTGTTTGGCTAATTTTGCTTTAGAAAACCAGTAGCTAAATCCAAATGAAGTAGGTTTATCAAATACACAGAAAAGCAAGCATTCTTCTCAGAGGGAAAAAAGATTTCTTTTGAATTTCACAACATGGATCCACAACAGTAACATTGTATTAACTGAAGATAGTTACCATCTTATACAGAAATCTTACATTTTGATAATTAAATCACTGAAAATTATTATAAATCAAATACACTTTCCAAATGAGGAAAGCAAGAGAACATAATTTACTCTCCCAAAAGGAGAAAGGAGAAATGTAGCCACAGTGAAATGACCATGAAAACCCATAGGCACTTTATTATTATATGATGGAACAGTTTCATAATCAGTTTTCTTCTCCTAAACTACTAAATCCAGAAAAATGTGTGACTATTTTAAGTAAGATATCTATATTTATTGGCGGTATCTTTATTTAGCCTCTGTAAATCAGAGAAAATAAATCTAATTGAATGAAAAAATTTCTTTGCTATGAGATAATATTCTGTTACATTTGTTTCTTTTTATCACTTTTTAAGTTCACTTTGATGAAAACTGTTGGATGAATATTAACCTTATGTTAATTTTTCAGTGCAAACCAGCTTGGAGGCCAAAGGCCTCTTCCTAATTGCTCAGGCTCCCAACCCCTCTCCAGTAGTAAATGTAGCACTCTGTCCACGCTATCAAAAGTTGAGACTGTGTGTCTCTTTCTAACCCCAGCTCGCCACTAGGTGAGACCCATTTTGTAACTTAAGACAGGTTAATGAATTATTGGGTTTGTCCTTGTTAGTCCTCCTAGGTAAACTACACATTCTAAGAGGTATCATCTGGATATGAAATTTACTTAACTTACCAACTACAGGAGGCATCGTAAAGCTGATCGGTAAAACAATTTTTAGTTAGAACAGACTTCATAGCACTTTAAAAAATTACACTAAGGAAAAAAATTATTTACCTAATTTACAGATAATTGACTGATATATATAATCCACTATTTGCAGTAGTTAATTCCTCTACCCATAATAATCCCTACCTGGTTTTCATAGAGTAGATTTTCTCTCAGTGGGCTTTAAGCTTAAACATCTCTGAAAACTTAAAAAAAAAAAAAGCTGACCTTTTAGGTTTTTGAGAATTTTCTCTGTGTGCAGGCCTTCATGTGGCCAACAAAACTCTGAGGTTGAGCTAAGCCACAAACTTATATAAATATCTTCTGAACAGGTTTTGTAGCATATCATATCAATTCAAAAATCTGAAAATAGTTTAATTTTATCAAATTTCTAGGCATATATTCAAGTTATTTTCCTTTTCACTTGTCTGGAAATGAATCTGATAAATAAAACAAACCAAAACAAAACAACAAATGTTTTCCCAAAATATCTTCCATGTACTAAAATTGTTTTGTTAGTTCACTAAAGTTGTATTGGTAGCTACATGGGGTACTTAGTCTCCTTTTCCATTTGTTTCTTGGCATTTATTTCCTTGTCTTTAGATTCCGTTGATGGTGCTGTTGGAATTTTAATACATATATGGCTTTTTCCGATTATCGTCCTCATCTCTATCTTAAGTCCTCGAAGGTGACCTTACCCTGGCAGAGGCTATAAAAGATTCACCAGGCACTAGCATGAAGAAAGAGTCTTTGTAAATGGACACTGAAAAAACAAACTACCAAAGATTCCTCCACTGACTACTGACTCAAAAATAAAATAATAAAAACAAATTTTTTTAAGCACTGGGGATAAAAAGACATCATGGAAATATAACTTATTCCGCACTACAGATAAAAGAAAATCTTGACCTGAGTAGAGAAGAGACCTTCAGGTGCTTCTATGGCTAAAAAGATTACAGCATCATCTGGTCATCTGGTTGAACTCGGAAAAAAAAAATAAAAAAAAAAAGAGCTATAGAAATCCTTGTCAAAGCACAAAGTCATGGCTGGTTTTGTTTCAAATGAATAGTTTGCTTGTTACTATGGAAACCTAATGGCCTGCCAACGAAAACCTCACTGTAAACAGGGTACGTGAAGAGCTGGCATTTATTTTCCTTTTGAGAAGGTTTTGCATAGAGAATTAAATAAATGTAGGCCCTTTTACCTTTGGTTGTTACCCTTCCTTGACAATAACCCGAACTCAGAATTATTTAAAACATTCTTCTTCCTCCCCACCTTATCCCTATCCCACCTTTCTTATTATTATTTGTTTTCCTCCCATGGCTAAGCTAGATAACTGTATGCTGTCTCTTTTTGCATGCACTACTATCCAGGATGGTATAAACCTGGGCTTACACATTACACAGGCTTATTGGAGTTTGCTTGCGGCCACTTGAACACCCAAACTAAGTCATCTGTTCCAACGAAGAAACCAAACCACCATCTTTTATAAATTGCCATGGAAACCAAGTGCCTTCAATGAGACAAGCCTGAATAATTTTCAACTCAGAAGCTTGCACTGCTAAGAGTGGTTTGTGTAAAACTATTTTATAAACAAACTACAGAGCCTAAATGTGCAAATTACAGGCAAGACAACAAAGCCGCTTCTGAAGAAGAAAGGACCGAAGCTGCTGCGTAAGCCCATGCAGACGAGATATTTGTTGTTTGACCTCCTAGACAGCCATGGCCTTTTGGCTTATTGTCCATTAGAAAATAACTTCCATTGAGACCAGACATGGGGGCAACACTTTTTTTCTTCCAGGTTATTAAATGGGTCAACCAGAACAAAAGGTTGCTAAGATAATAATTAGCGCAGAAGGTGGTAAAACACAAGCGTGATTTTTTACTCTAACCTCCATTTGAAGTGAAATTGGCCCTAGCTTTAGAGGGAACAAGAAAATGTCTGTGATTGCAGTGCATACAAACTCTACAGTGGAACTGGGCCTGAAAAATCTGGCTTTATTCTAAACACTGAGGGTAATATGCCTCTGCCCTTTAGTCAGACTCTGTGCAAATTGTGAAATATTATTTTATTATTTTGCCAAGATTAAAAAACACTTTTACAAAAAAACAAAAACCTGTAAAAATGATTTTGAGCTACCTGAGGACAAATCATACCTTTAACCAGCCAGTTTTCCAGTGCATTGTAAATTTCACTTAAACCTGTTGGTTATGAAAATTTGAAGATCTTTTTCCTTAAATTATCTCAGCTTTTAACTTCATTTAAAAAGACTTTGTCTAAAGAAGAATACTATTATTATTATTATTATATGTTCTTTCAACACCCCAGGATTAAAAAACTGATTATGCAAGTAATTGGGATATAAGTATTAAATTATAACATTTGCAAATATTAATATAAAAAGCACAACAAAATGTAGTGGAAAAATGACAAAGCTTGATTTTTTTTAAAAGAAAATTCTGTAGAAATGTTTGTGCAAATTCAGTAATTCAACTTAAAAGATAATTTTACAGCTATGTTCAATAAAGCCTCTTTCCAGGTAAGGTATGAAAAGCAGTATGTGTGTTTGTTGAACAATGTTCACTTATCACCAAAATGAGACTAGTTATACAATCTACTGGTTATGTTACCATGGGATAAATCTTCAGTGCTTCATATACTGTAAGGTCTGCAGGAAGAAATTCTGATAGGGAATCTCTGATGCACTCTCCCTTATATGTAATACATGTTAAAAAAAAAATCAAACTTTCGAAAGTAAAATATGAAACAAATATGAACTTGGAATTTAATGTGTATTTTCATAGTTAAGAAGGGGACCAGTCTGAATATTCCAGTAGTAATAGAATCGAACTAACTCAAGTTCTTTAAATTAAGTAGAATAAACATATGAATTTAATAACATATTTGAACAGATCAGGCATATTGAAAAACATTTCAAAATTATAGTCACCTATCTATTTTATCAAACCAAAGAAATTAAACAATATTTGAGGCACTTAGCTTAATATTTACTAAATCTTCCTTCACCTTGACTTCCGTTTTATGTGGCAACTAACCACTTCTCTCCACTCTCCCATATTAGCGAATCATATTTTTTAATTGATTTTCTGCAATTCATTTCTGATACTATCAATAAAAATATTCTAGATCAAAAGAGAGGCTTAACTCATTGCACCTGACTTTCTTTCCTTGATCTTTATTTGAGTGAAGCTTTTGCTAAAATCACAACAAAACAAAATCTACATTCAGAATATTTGGATATGTATATGTCCTTCCCAGAAAAAGAATCAAGTTTTTCTCCTAAGTCACCCTGCACAAAGAAACTGCTGTCAGCAAAAGATACAGTTCTACTACTTAACATTCACAAAATACTAGTCTTTCTATAACCTTTCACACAGTAAGAATACACAAGCCTTCAGAAGTTCATGAGAACTGGCTGGTACTCCAAAAAGTAATTTTGATTAAATGAGAAATTGCAGATGAGTGCCAAAAACAAAAGAGTAATCAGAACTGCAAATCAATCAACTTTATTGATATGGTAACAAATTAAAATATATAACTCAAATGGGTTCTAGATCGCTTATATAAACCAACAAACAGAATCAATGTTTTTCACTCAGAGCAAATGTTTAGTTGCTATAATTGAAAGGCAATGGATAAAAATGCAGAAATTTTTAAAAGGTTGGTATACAGGACATGTAAATTGTGAGGTATTCCCTTCTTTAATATTAGTTATAATAATGACAACTTTAAAGCACTTAACCTGCTTATCAACTGCCTTCCTTTTCCTAATACTTTTGTATATGAGTTGAACTCTCCAACGTATTCCCCCTTTTCCTTTTTGATAACATTTTAAATGTAATCGATGCCAGTGTTTCGTTGTTGTTGTTCTCTCATAGGAAGGCATTAGGCAATGGAGTTTTTAATTTCCTGGGAGAAAGATTATATCATATAATCTACTGCCAGTAGTTGACCCTAATTAATAAGAAGCATTAATCTGTTTCATCAGTTCAAAGATGCTTGTCCCTCCACATTTTAATATCTCTGCAATCAGGCATATTTTAATTACAATTAGCAGCATTTCTGTGTAGTGATATATAAAATAAGAGTGCATCCTAAAAACAATGGCATCTTAGTTATTGAAATTCACCAAAGTTTCCAAAAGTTTCAAATCCTGCCCAGTGTTACTACTTTTCAATAGAAATAATGGCCACTTCATTTTTGTAGGATTTATATTACTTATTGAATACACATTACTTAAAAATAACATAACTTTTATTTTTTGCTTTTTAAAAATTTGAGTCTTCTCTTACATACATTGTAATACAAACCTAGCCCTGCTTTCTTTTTCTTTTTTTCCTGCTACATATTTTTTAGTTCTATCATGAATTACAATATGCCAGGTACCCCTGGATTAAAATGTTTTCTGTTTTTATGTGATTCATAGCACTTAATGCGTTAGAAGTTTGGCCTGCCATTAAATTTTCTTTCAGAGATTTGAAAAATGCATGGTGCCACACAATGTCATGTAATAGGCTAAACTAATGGTATTTCACTTCACCTACATCACAGTATCGACTTTGGCATGGCAATGAATTGTGATAATTACAATAATGAGAATTGCAAACCAGCTGGTCAGTCACATCATGTTAAAAATGATTTAAAAAAATACCATTCTTTACTTTTATATTTTAAAATATGACAAAATATGAATGACAACTGTACTAACTTTTCACCAAACATGCATTTTTATTTTAAAGACTTTATAATAAACTTATCTGTCAAAATGTGTAATTTGAAGAACAATTAATTTAGTTCCATACTTAAGACTGTATGAAACTGGCTGTGGTGTTTTTCATGATCAATTTTTGTTTGTTTTGATTGGTGAATTGAAAGATACTAATAGACTACATAACCAGAGTTTGATAGAATGACTTCAAAGGATCTATTGAATGCATGTTCTTTATCAACAAACTTTTTTTTTAATGTGCCTTTCTAAGATCAGAGCCTCTCAACAGATATTTAAACTGGAAAAAGTTTGTTCTGAATTCACTTTCTTCTTGGGTGATGGCTACTTCTTACTAATTGCTTCGTCTGCATCTCAACAAGGCAGAAGGTATACTCTTCTTGCAACTGGATAGTTGATGTCAAGGAGGAGTTATTGCATTTTCTGTGAAAACAATAAAATCATAGGGTTCAATCCCAAGTTATTTCCTTTCCTACAATGCTCCCTTTGTGACTAACTGGCTTGATTAGTTTTCTTAGCGCTTATTTTTAAAAAGCAATGTCTCTGGCATTTTCTACTTCTACTTAGAAAAGCTACTGCAGAATGATCAGAACTTTTTTCCAAATATGGTATAAAAAGTTCTCTGCTGATATCCATAATATTTATAAGTAAATACATATCTTATTACATAGAAAAAGTAAGACTTAAAAACTTGAAACTTTAATGTGAAATATGCCAGTTCAGAATCAATCTATCATATGTATATGTCTGTTTGGAAACAGAAGTGAAAGTTAGGTTAGGGAGAGATAAATATTCCATATATTTGTATATGGACTACTTTATTGACATTAATATAAGGCTTAATAAATCATAATTGGTAATTTCATTACTCTGAATCTACATTGAGTATATTGGAATTAAGGAATTGGAATTCAAAATTTGAAAAAGGCAAGGCTTAAACTCTAGGTAGAAACTGAAATAATTTTTCTTAAAGGAACATTTACAACTGATGAATTTGATTTCAATTGTACTAATTTTCCATAAGTTGAGTTTAAATGTAATCTTATTTTTCAATAAAGTGATGCGAAATTCTATGAAATAGGGATTAGCCTATTAGTTTCAGTTTGTTTTAGTATGGCTCTCAATTGCTGTCCTGGATTTCCAGGATACCATTTTTATTTCTTGAGGCATCCGTATATTTAAATGTATACGTCAATAAAATATATGCTGTGTTAAATTCATATCGAATATTAGTTACATTTTAGATCTCAAAGTTTAGATTTAACTTACTTTTCCTTTTGATATTTTCCTTCTGCTAATAGTTGCAGATAGCTGTATGTAATCTTCCCTTGGATTTTCTTTCAATAAATGAAATTATGTTAAATACTCTTCTAGTGTTTTGGGGAAATTTCTGCTGTTAATAAGCACTTAGGTTAGAAACAAAAAGATATTTAGAATAGCAATTATATTTTCAAATTAAGATGAAAATGCCATCATTTCTCTCACTATTGAATAGCTTTTATAGACTCAACACTGCAGTGAGGCACAATTAGCCCATTAAAGATACATGTTGATTTTTACATCCTTTCTGAGGGATCATTTATAAGATTGTGTGAAACAAGTAGGCACTAAAATTTTCCTGAATAAACTGTGATTTAAGAATGGTGGCTCAATTTAGTAACTGTGGGCTTCTGTATGGTATGTGAAATAACTAACTACAGATTAACAGCACTACTATTTTCCAGGATGAAAGTTTTAATCACATATTTCATGGAGGCACTATAAGCTGAATGTAGGTCTTTCAAGGAAAAATAATAGTACTGCTTGACAATGATTTGAGTGAAACAAATTATAAGTGGAATCCTAAAACTTGCTTATCATTATTTCCCTGTTGCTTATTTAGCTTAGTTTTTTTCTTCATCTTTGGTGTTATAACTCTATATCCACTGAAACTTTGGATATACTGTTAACAGTAATAGACCTATTAAGCATCCTCAGAAATCAACTACCTAATTGCTCCATAACTGCCTATTAAAGTACTGTTTATTCTTCTTGAGCTGTTTTAATAGTCAAATTAAAGACTTTGTCCATATTTGATTCCTATGGTACTTATATTCTTTAAATTACTCTTTAGTTGTCTGCACATCCTCTTCCCAGCGGAAGTTGTAACCACCTCCATGCAAGGACTATGTCTTTTTATAGATTTAAGAGCTTCCAGTTTACCTAGGTTCTACATAAGTTTTTGAATTAATGATTACTAAATTAATTCTTGATTTAGACCTACATTTAGAACAGAACTTATTCAATGAACACAGGAAATAAGCAGTCATATCAACTTTCAGTTATGAAATCAATGACATTTCATAGACAGAATACATTTCCTAGGTGCTGAGAAAAATAAGGATCGAAGCAAATTAAACATCAGTTTACCCATTTCCAACACAATTTTCAAGCACTTCTTAGTTTAAAAGAAAATGATTGTATTTCTTAATAAAAAGGCAAACCTTTTTAATGTTTCCATGAACAAACTAATGAAAAGGAGTCTAATTCTGCATATTTTGTGTTAGATGTTATCCTTATACATGAGAATAATATGATATAGAATCCCTTATTTTAATCAAAATGTATTAATTATAGAATATTATGCTTAATTTTACATTCAGGAGATCACATGAGCTAAATTCAGCCTTAGCTCCTTTTCAGAGTTTGCTGTAGTATACATATATATATCTCTTGGGATTCAATCATCTATTAGATTTGAAATGAAGTATATTTTAGTATGCAAATATTTTAGAGTTGAATAATAATGAATTATAAAACTAAGATACTTATTTAGTTCTGGATAATATTTTAGGTATCAAATACAAGATTCTTACACATGGAACAAAATAATGAGAAAGAATAATTTTCAAAATTGGTAACAGAGATGTCTATTAATTTTAATATTTTATTTTGATTCTGCTTTGAATTATAGGTCTCAATGTCAAAAACTGATACAATTCAACAGCCTAATGAGCCCAAAATTAAAGATGGTACAGTGCTGTGTGGTTAGTCGCTCAGTCATGTCCGACTCTTTGCGACACCATGGACCGTAGCCCACCAGGCTCCTCTGTCCATGGGATTCTCAGGCAAGGATACAGGAGTGGGTTGCCATTTCCTATGTGGCAAAAATGATAATAAACAGTTAATTAATGTAATAACAGTTATAATTGTTAATGAGATAAACATGTATCCTTTCTTTTTCATTTATTTTTTGCCAGCATTGTATACAAGAGTGGGATGTTACATGTAAAAGGCTTTTGCAGCACTGGAAGGCTATCCATTCTGAGTCAACTCTCACACCAGGGCATACGATTCCCCACTCAGGAGTCCAGTCCTTTATGCATGGTGTTGCTTTCTCCATTTAGTCTTCTTTCAAGCTATAAATATTCCCATTGGGAAAATATACTAGTCCCTATTATTTGGGGTAGCATTTTATGAGCTCAGTCTTCGAACATCTAGCAAAACAGACTAAGAAAACCCTAGCTACTGGAAGGGGCTAAGAAGCAGGAAGGAGAAACAGGCAGAGAGGAGAGATGTGGGATTTCAAAGACTACATTCATTTCACAGTTTTCCTGAGGACAGGTTTCCAGATTGCGTATCCAGTATACAAATAAGAGGAATGTCAGGCTGTCAGACACAGGCAAAAGCTCAAAGAACATTGAGAGAAGCATAAACAATGAGGTCACAGAGAGATGCAGATGCATTTAAAAATGAAACTGATCACACCAGATTGTTCACACTAGCAGAAAGGAGAAAAAGGGAAAATTGCACAGTCAGATGTATTCTGTAGAGGCACATAACCTAAAAAGTGAAAATAAAATGTTTAGATTAAGTTTGAAAAGGAGCTACGATACATACATATACACATATCCACCACACGCTCCTCTTGCTTTCTCTTCCTTCCTCTGCAGTGCCTGTTTACAACGTGGCTTCTCTGTCCACTTTCTCTTTTCTGCGTATCTGGATTCATAGTACATAGTTTAGCCTGTAGAGTACATTTTCCTTTAAGATGTATTTCAACAAGCTAGTTTCTGTTTCAGACAGCCACTGTTTATACTCTTTCTCCACCATTTTTTCATTATACAATTTTAGTTAATATTTAACGTCCCTATCAACTCAGTTTCCTCTCCTGTAAAATAGGGATAATATCAACAGTAATAATATGCTTATTTCATAGGACTGCAGGAAAGTTCAGATGACATAAGATACATAAGACATTTAATTTCCTAGAATATCGAAGCATTAATGAACACTTTTAAAAACTGTTTTTTTAACTTTCTATTTTGTATTGGAGTATAGCCAAGTAACAAGTTGTGATACTTTTAGGTGAACAGTGAAGGGACTCAGCCTTACATATATACGTATCCATTCTCCCCCAAAGTGCCCTCCCATCTAGGCTGAGCAGAGTTCCCTGTGCTACACAGTAGGTCCTTGTTGGTTATCCATTTTAAATATAGTGGTGTGTACATGTCCATCCCAAACTCCCTAACTAGCCCTTCTTGCATCCTTCCCCCCAGCAACCATAGGTTCATTCTTTATGTCTGTGAGTTTCTTTCTTTTTTGTAAGTTTAGTTCTATCATTTTTTTTTTTTAGGTTCTGCATATAAGGGATGGCATATGATATTTCTCCTTATCTGACTTACTTAACTCAGTATGACAGTCTCTAGGTCCATTGATGTTGCTGCCAGTGGCATTTCATCCATTTTAATGGCTGAGTAATATTCCATTGTATAAATGTACCACATTTTCTTTATCCATTCCTGTTGATGGGCATTTAGGTTGCTTCCATGTCTTGGCTGTTGTAAAGAGAATGAACACTTTTTATTGATAGGATGATATTCTTAGAGACAGAAGAGTAAAGTTGAGAATCATAATGTCTATCCTGTCCACAAGTGTCAAGTTTGGAAATGAGCATATTCAAATTATTTTCACTTTCTCTAATGATTTTACTTCAAGCCCATGCATACACACATTTATACATGCCATTAATATGATTTATCATTTTCCAAGTGT